AAATTCATACCCCGAAAACATGAAGCACATATGCTCATGTGGAAGGTAGGCTCCAAGTCCTCTTGTATAATGTCTCTATTATTAATAGTCATTGTGGGCTGTCTGCATATCCCCTAAAGAAAACACACACACACACACACACACACACACACACACACACACACAGAGTGACAACCGGAATTGAGTATGCACCATCTCCAAGGGCATAGTCCAGGGTCTCTAATATATACTGCAAAGCAAGCATTGTACTATTGACAGGTAATAATTACTGATGAGGAGTAACAGGATATCCAGTAAACAGAGGATAAGAAAAATATAGTCTTGCTGGAAGAGTTAAGTACGAACTCCTCAAGGGAAAATGTGGGAGACTGTTGAAAAAAAGACAAGAAAAAAGGAGAATTGTTAAAACTCCACTTTTTCAGTTTCTGAACTGAACTTTTGCTCACAGCAGGTGAACGCAGGCTCCCTCCTACACGGAGACTTCCCCCCCTGCCGACGTGCAGTCTGTTAAGTAAACAGAGACTTTATACTGAGAAAGGAACATTTCTCTATTTTGGCTATGAGTTGTTATTTTTAAAGATTCATCCTCCAAACATTTTCCTCTCTCCTTGCTTATTTTTTCACTAGAAGGAAAATGTACTACTTTTTGAAAATTCAACTACGTGACAAGAAAACGCACTACTAGTATACTCTTCCCACTTTAGGTGGGTCTACCCTTGGGTGTGACCATTCCCTTACCCCTGAGTTGAGTAGCATGGTTCTTACAGTTTCCTCTCTGCTTCTCTTGAGCTTCTGTACATCCTGATTTGAATCGCCAAAGCCTAGTGCACGTGATGGTTGTTTTCTGAATACTTTGGGTTGAAAGGCTAACATCTCCTTTGATACGTGTATGTATGTATGTATGTGTGTATGTATATATCTAGTTCTCCATGTATTTGGAAGTAGCTAAATGTAGTCACTGCTGTGTACTATACTCCATTCTCAGCACCTTCTTCTGAGAATACTGTGCTAATTGTTTAAAGATTGATGTGAACTTTGGGACCAGCAGATGGCGTAATGGTTATGTCACTGGACTCCCGTGTAGTCAACTGCGGTTCAAATCCCAGACCTGCTGACTTAAAACTCACTACAGGTGCTTATGCATGCGTGCCCAAGATCCCCAGAGGAGAATGAAGAAAAGGGATTGTGACATGACCATTCCCCCTCAGGGGTGATTTCTCACTTTCTATCTCTGTCTCATTGGCAAGCGCATGTGCCTTATAGAAAAAAAAAAAATTCTAAAAAGAAAAAAGACATAGCCATTACACTAATCAGTAGTTAGCATACTGGCAATGTTGCTGGACTCCCACGTAGTCGACTGCGGTTAAAGTCCCAAACCCGGTGGCTTAAACTCATGCCGGGCGCGTGTGCGTGCGTGCCCGGGGTCCCGAGAGGGGAATGGAGGAGAGGGGACTGCAACGTGGCCATCCCCCCTGGGGGGTGATTTCTCGCTTTCTGTCTCTCTCTCTCTCTGTCTGTCTGGTGAGGTTTTGCCCTATAGCAAAAACCTCTCCAAAAAGAGAAAAAAAGAAAAAATATTGATATGAACTCGGGGAGAGGGACGTTAGAAATAAGAAGAGGCTTCTTTCTGCACCCTTCTGGAGAATGTACTTCATCGCATTGTACCTTCTTTCTCCTCGTCTGTTTTGCTCCTCTCTAGATATCCTTGCTAACAGCCCCTGGGCTTTCTTTTGTGTACCTTAAAGTATATAAAAGAGCCTCAATAAATTTCCTAGAGTTAGCATAGAGCAACAAAGAATAACAAAATCATATTGATTTTATTGAAATGATTTATTTTGGTTAATAGGCAGTGTGGTTTGACTTATCAGTTTTGAGTCCTATTTCCCTCATTTGGAAAATGAGAAAAATACTACTACTCTTAGAGGTCAACTGAATAAAGGAAATGAATATATCAGAACTACAGTGTAATTCTAGTCGGTGTGAAAAAAATGGGTTGTTCTTTAGTATTAATAAGATAACTAGCTGCCTTAAGAAAATATCGAGCTGAATGCCTGCCTCATGTCTTACACCAAAGCGAGTTCCAAATGATAGTTTCACAACCCTGAACATAATAACATCTGAGTCATCTTACTCATTAAATGAGTGAATTTTATGGTAAATGGTTATATTTTAATAATACTATACAAGAATAAATTTCCCTTTTAAAAAAAATCCCAGAAAATGAAAGAATTAAGCATAAAATCATGGAACTATGCTACAAGAAGACAAGCTTTTTTTTTTTTTATATATGTTATTGGAAGGAGTGGTCTTTTTAGATAAGATATACTATTCTAGGAGCAATCAGTTGGTATGGAGGTAAAGGTGCTGGATCCCACATTGCCAGCTTCATGGTTCAAGTCCTTGACCCAGTGGCTTGAGAACCATGCTGTGTGTGTGTGTGTGTGTGCGTGTGTGTGTGTGTGTGTGTGTGTGTGCCCAAAACCCTGAGAGGAGTTAGGAGTAGGAATTGTAGAATGACCATCCCCCTGGGGGGTAATTTCTCACTCCCCTCCCCACTGAGACTGTATGCACACTATAGCAAAAATAAACAAACAAATAAATAAATGTAACAATATCCTATTCTAGAGCCAAATTCTGTAATAATTAAATGTTTTGTAGAAGAAAATATCAGAAACAAAATCATAAGAAAAACATGATGAAACATGAGAAAAACTTTAAAAGTACACGTGACAATGGGCTCATTGGTATAATATATAAAGAGCTCTTAAGAATCAATATGAGGGAACCAGCAGTTAGTGTAATGGCTATGTCGCTGAGCTTCCATGTAGTCGACCGCAGTTCGTGTCCCGGACCCGGTGGCTTAAAACTCACGCCGGGCGCGTGTGTGTGCGTGCCCAAGATCCCGAGAGGAGAATGGAGGAGAAGGGATTGTGGCGTGACCATCCCCCCTGGGGGGTGATTTCTCGCTTTCTGTCTCTATGTCTCTCTCTGTCTGTCTGGCGAGCGCACGCACCCTACAGTGAAAATCTCTCCAAAAAAAAAAAAAAGAATCAATATGAAAATAACCAATAACCTAACAAAACATTTGGGCTAAGGATAAGAGCAGGAAGTTCAGAGAAAGAACGTATACCACTATTTGATCTATCAAAATTTTTAAAAGAATAAAAATAGGAACCATGAGTTCTGTGTTAGTCCATGGCCTGGTAATTAAGGCAGCTGGATCCCACACGGCTGACTGTGAAATGTGAGGTCCAGACTTGGTGGCTTAAAGGACACACTGGCCACATGTGTGTGTGCCCGAAATCCTAAAAGGGTAGAGAAATGGAGAAGAGATGGTGGCATGACCATTTTCCATGAGAGATGCTTTCTCCCTGTCTTCTTCCCTGTCTCTCTCTGGTGAATACATGGGCTCTCTAGAAAAATCAACCAACCAAACAAACATAAAAACAAATTCTTTGATCTAGCAATTCAACTTCTAGGAATTTCTTAACTATCTATATATGAGTCCAAAACTGTAAGCATAGATATAGTTGTCAAATGAAAGTTTTGTAACAGCAAACTATTTGAAATCAAACCAAATGTCAATGAAGTGGATAAAGAAATCAGCATTTTGTTCAGTGGGAAGTTACTCAGCTATTTAAAACAGTTGAAGATCTCTAAAATCTATGAATAAACAACAAAACAAGGTTCTCAACAAGGTGTTTAGTGTTCCTGTTTTTCATAATCACATGTCTGAATTTACATAGAACATTTTAACTTTTTTCTAACGACTTCAAACCCATCACGCCCCAAATTCCACTGTAAACAACAAACACGAATGCATCCTTTTGTACATAATATCTCATTTAAATTCTGCAGCAACCCTGTGGAAAAGATACTGACACCTGCATTTTAAAATATCACATGTCATGAGTTCTCTCTCATGTTTGCTTGCTTATGAGTTGCAACCTGATAGCCTTGGTGCCAAAACTCTGTTGTACCAGAGAAAAACCTGAACTTCTCGTAATGATGTAGAACCGTCTTCATTACCTGATATTCTCCTTCTTTCCTGGATTCATCTATTTCTGTCTTACCTCCCACACATTGTTCTATGTTCTTTCATGTTGTTCTGTCTTTCCATGTTTAGGACCCTCTTCCAAAGGTGCATTCACACTTCTGCTTGATGAAATTCTCTATTCTATTAAAGTGTCAGCTCAAAAGCCATCTACTTAAAGAATGCTTACCTGCCGTCCTTTGCCACAACGATGATCTCAGCCCAGCCACTGTCCATAGTTAACCGTTTCCAAAGCAACTCAAGACACATCTGTTCAAACTTGTTATATAAGGGGCCAGCAGATGGTGTAGCAGTTACATTGCTGGTCTCCCACATGGCTGACCACGGTTTGAGTCCTGAACCTGATGGCTTGAAAATAACACCAGGTGCATGTGCGTGCATGCCCAAATCCCAGGAGGAGAAGAGATTACAGAGTGGCCATCCTCCCTGGTGGTAAGGGGGTGATTTCTCACCTTCCCTCTCACTGTTTATGTCCTTCTCTCTCTCTGATGAGGGCATGTGCCCTAAGACAAAAACCTCTTTAATAATAAAAATACAGCGAAACAAATAAACAAACAAAAACTTGTTACATGAGTTGAAAGCCATGACCGTTTTGAGAATCGAGGCCCTGTTTTTATTCTCATAACTATTAAAGAGTCTAGAATATAGTATCTGATCAATAAACTTATATTAGAAAAATCATTTACCTGAATCGTAATTTAGTTTTGATTACCTATAGGTTTAAGATCGTCTAAGAATTTGAAATGAGATTTTTTTTTTTTTTTGGTGGAAAATCTTTTTTGGTGTTGCCTTCTAGAATCCAAATGAATCCTCATGCTCTATGAAGAGGAGGGACTGCAGTTTTTTTGTTGCTGATTTGACACCAGTAGATTTTTATGAATGTGAACCTTATGTCTTGTGGAAGATTTTTTGCCTTGTCATACCTTTTTCTTCTGCATTTTCATAGGAACCAGGGGAAATGTGTAGAGGGCATGGTGGAGATCTTTGATATGCTGTTGGCTACATCGTCTCGGTTCCGTATGATGAATCTGCAGGGAGAGGAGTTTGTGTGCCTCAAATCTATCATTTTACTTAATTCTGGTAAGTCGATAACAAAAGGGAATTTTGCCCTGTGTTACTAGAAGAAGTACTTTTTTAGGGACCAGCAGATGGCATGGCGGTTACATCGCTGGACTCCCACACAGCCGACCGCAGGTTGAGTCCCAGACTGCTGGCTTGAAACACACTGGGCACATGTGCATGTGTGCCCAAGATCCCAGGAGAATGCAGAAGGGTTTGCAGTGTGGCCATCTCCCCAGGGGGTGATTTCTCACTTTCCCTCTCACTGTCTCTGTCTCTCTCTTTCTGATCCCACAATGGCTCTTTCTGGCAAGTGGCCTAAGTCAGAGACCACCAACCCCACCTCAAGCCCCCCCCCCCCCCCCCAAAAAAAAAAAAAAAAAAAAAAAAAAAATCATTTCTATTTTTCAACCAGATACAATCTACTCATTACAAAGGCATCATTATGGTAATCTGTAATCACTGTGGATTACTTATGGAAGTAGAGCCATGTCAGTCAAAGATAATGAATGCAAAATGACAAGTAGACATGAACTCAAATGGCGTTTTGTGGCAATATTTGGATTCTTTCACAGAAATGGGAGGTGTTTTATTAACATGGTCCATGTATATAGACATATGCCTGTGAGTGATTTCATAGGGCAGGATGTAGACCAAGTGGCCCTGTTACGAAATTGTGACCAGTTTGCAGCTTCAGCCAATAAAGAAAGAAGATTATTTGAGACAGACCTTGTATCTGGTCAGAACTGATTAGTAAAAACGTAGTTGGCTTACAGCAATTAAAAAGCAAAAACAAAAACAAACTGGTTCTAAAACTGAGGAACATGAAATACAGTAAATTGGTCCAGTTGGAGAGGACATTTTTTTATTTGGTCGATGGAATTTAATGTTACTGTCCCCTCCCGCCTACTTATTCATTTGAGAAGGCTAAGCTAAGAGCAGCATTTATTTTTATTTATTTATTTATTTATTTATTTATTTATTAATTTATTTTTTTTTTGTGAGGTTACTGTTGTATAAAGAGTCACTCCAGGTCATCCAGATGGAAACTATGCTCAGCCTGAATTAACACCCGGACTCCCAGCAGTCTCTGCATTTGGATCTAAGCGTTAGATCTGCTGCCTGTAGGATCTGAAGCTTACAGCTGGGTGTGAGCTGCACAGAAGGTGCCTTTAACCTAGACTTTACCACCGAGCCCCATTTTGTGTCTCATACGGCATCCTTCACGCCGCATAGCTCTTTGAAGCCCTAGGCCTTAGTTTCTCCCACCGTTATGTATGGCCTAGCTTTCTCACTTGCTGAGCAGCAGTTTGTGTTGATCACATACGTAGACAATCCGCTCCCCTTCTCTTTTCATGTGTTCTTTTTCTCTTCCCCTGACAATTTTCTGCCTCTATTCCCCACCAATGCTAGTAACCCACCTTGCTTAATGGGTACCACAGTAATCATTCTCATTTATCATCTGATAAATGGAAATCTGTCCTATTACACTAGGCAAGGACTGAATTACAGAATGAAGTTTCATGAAAAATAATGGGATCCACACTAAGGAAGTGATTACCACGCCATTCAAGTTTCTGGTTCCACTCACACGCATTGTGCTTTTCATTTTGGTCGTTTGTCCTGTCCATTGAAGGGTGCGGATCCCACAATGGCTCTTTATTGGATGAGAGTTCTGGGAGCAGTGCCACTCGGCTGTACAGTGCCAGGTCCTGACCTGCTCCTTCTTCGCTGGAGATTGGCACATGCTGACAGCTTTCATGTGGGCAATCTGCTAACTCCAGGGAAAACAGGCCTAGCGATTTGGGTGGGGGGTGCTTTCCCACTTTACCCAGGAAAGAATACCCCAGACAGGAAGTGGAAATAGCCAGAGTGCTGCAATCCACACCACAGGATGCTCTGATCTTGGCGATCAGACCTATTTCCTTCAGGTCCCTGTAGCCCTTTCCTGCAGTATTGTTCAGTCTCTGTTCCTATGTTGGAGAAGGTTTGTTTTTTAAAATATTGTCCTGGGACTGGCATGTGGTGTGGTGGATACAGCGCTAGACTCCTATGTGGCCAACTATAATACAAGTTCCAGACCTGGAGGCTTTCTCACTTTCCTTTTCTCTCTTTCTGGTCAAATTAAAAAATAACAGTAATAAATAAAATGAAACAAATAATTATTTTTTTAAAAGTCGACATTTTGCCCTCAAAACATGGAAATCAAGACATTTAAGGGAACAGAAGTGGAGGACTGTCTATTGATGATAACACGCATGATAATATCTTTAACTGGATTGGCATGTAATGTGTTTATGCTGAGAAAACTTATTTTACAAGCTGTGGTGATGTACAGTGATTGAATGCATAAAATTAAATGAATAAAATAATAACAATGACCAAAAAAAAACACATGGAAATCATAGACCCAGGATTTTTACAGCCCAAGGGGAAAAAGCCTTCAGACCTCATAAGAAAGACTTTTATGAAAGGCTGGCCCCTTCTCTGTTCTGTAGCTGCCACCTCAGGGTTCGGTCCTTCATCTGAATTCCTAAGTCAGACTGCTTAGACTGCCACACCCTGTCCTGGTGCCTTCACGCCTTTCTTAGGATCATCTGTGTACTTCCTTGCTCTGAAGGTCAGAATGCTTCTCTGGGAAGAGGTACCACCCATGGACAGAGTTGACAGCTGTCTTTCTTCATGGGATCATTGGGCAGCAGCTCGTCTTTTCTATCAAAGACATTGTTGCTGGCTCACGAGAGTGGTAACAAAACAGAAGCAGCATCCCCACCCTGACAACAGGGAAAACACTCCTCTCACTGAGAAGCTGTGCTGTGTTTTGGAAAAGCAGACCTGCCGCTGAGCACAGCTCTGAGTCTCCTATGGCCCCTGAGAAATGGAATCTGAGAGAACGCAGAAACACAATGGGGTATAGAGCTGGGCGCCTTTTTCACACTAAGAAGCAATCCGTCATAGGAAAGGGACCGTGATCAATAATATTCTTTCGCCACTGGAGACAGGGAATTTTCTTAAAATCCCAGCCAATCCATGGCTCTGATCTGGGGCAACTCTGTACCTATCATAAGACAAATCACAGTGTGACTCTAACTCCAAGAATCTCTGACTGAAGCCAAGCTGGAAAAGAGTAAGGAAACCTGAGTTAGAGGCTTTTCTGATGCCCGGAAATAAGCCCTCCATGTGAAGGAACCTTGGGTTTGTGTCTGGGGACACTAGGTTTATGTTGGCCCTGACTTTGGGGCAAAGGCACAAGGGCAGTTGAAATGTTGTTGTGAGGACCTGCTAGGAATGCCTTTTTTGGAAGCTTTGAGAGGGTCTCCCAAATGCCAACATGTCCACGGGAAGCCTATTCACAGCTGTTTGGAAATAGGATGTATTCGTCATGATTGTTTTCTTTTTTTTTTTTTTTTTTTTTTTTTTTTTTTTTTTTTTTTTTGAGAGATTTTCGCTATAGGGTGCGTGCACTCGCCAGAAAGACAGAGAGACAGAAGGTGAGAAATCACCCCCCAGGGGGGATGGCCACGCCGCAATCCCTTCTCCTCCATTCTCCTCTTGGGATCTTGGGCACACACGCACCCATACCCGGCATGAGTTTAAGCCACCGGGTCCAGGACTCGATCTTTGGTCGACTACATGGTAGTCCAGCGACATAGCCATTATGCCAACTGTAGGTCCCATGATTTCTGCCTAATTTTGGATAACTTATTACTTTGCTTGCAAAAGGCTGGGCTCATACATAGGATGGATATTGCTTTTCCATTCCTCCCCAAGAGTTCCTGGTTAACACAAAGATGTCTTTGCAAAATCAGTGCCAGTTTCAAGGCATTCTGAGAACTGGTCAGACAGAGCTCAGGAATAGGACAAATAAGAATAGAGTAGAGGGGCCAGCAGGTGGTGATTAAGGCACTGGATTCCCACATGGCTGACCATGGTTCAAGTCCTGGACCCAGTGACTTGAAAACCATGCCCCAAAGCCTGAAAGGAAAATGTACAGAAGGGGTTGCAGTGTGGCCATTGCCCTTGCGGGTGATTTCTCATTTTCTCTCTCTCTGTCTCTCTCCGAAGAATACATGTGCAGTATGGCAAAACAAAACAAAACAAAACAAAAAACTAAAACTAAAATAAATAAATAAGAACAGAGCAGAAGAATTAAGGGTGACAGCCTGTGAGGAAGACATCATGGTAGGGAAGGATGGGAAGTTGGAGGCACCAGAGGAGATCAAAAACAATACCAGTTCGTGGTTGTCCTTCTACCCAATGCAACTTCAGTTCTTCTTCTCAATAATTCAGATATTTCTCATTTTTCTAGGTCTAGCTCAAATCTCACATCATTCGGGAAGTCTTGCTACTTACTCAAGTCTATTATTATTGTCCTTCTCTAGATTATTATAATTTTTAGAGTCAGTGCCATACTCTCCAGCATTTAGATAGTTGATCGACTGATTCCATTTATTTATCAAAAATATTCATTTGCTTATCCAATAATCCACCTTTATTGAGCCCCTACTATAAACTTTTTGCCAAATATACACAAATAACAGTCACAGTCATATGTTTTTTTTTCATTTTTAAAACTTTAACCTACTCTTTCTCTCTTTTTAAATGTTTATATTGCATTTCCTAATTTCTCTATAAATTATTTGTACAATATATATTTTTTAATTTCTCACATCTTTATTCTATAGACTAAAGACAGATAGTACAGCAATCTGTCATTTGATAGCGGCTTATTTGTTGGACATAGCCAGGGGGGCCTGAAAAGTTCTCACTTTCCTCATGCTGTCTCCCTGCTTCTGAGACATAACATCAATGCATACGGGGTCTAAATAGTATTGAACTATTAAATTAAAACAGCAATGTCTACCCTCGGGGTTATTGTGGGGAAAGGGGAACCTGTGTATAAAGTGTCTAATGCTGTTCATAGAACGTAGTACGTAAATCAATGGCGAAGATGCTCATCACTGATGAAACCTCTGACTTTACTTGAGCAGGTTTATTTTGTTTTTGTTTTTGTTTTACCA